GTTGAACAATTATACAAAGACGTGTTTTTAATTTTACATTTTAGATAAAACTATGAATTAATGATAAGATGGTTGGCATGCTTCCTCCTCCAATCTCAAGTGGCATTTATTGTCTGATAAAGCCATTATTGGCGTCTTGGTTTTCTTATTTCAAAATATTGTACAGTCCATTATGTTTGTATATCTTTTTTAGACCATATATATATATATGATCCCCTATATATTCTTAGAGTAAAAATTCTAACTGCATTTATTTATATTTATATTCTAATGTATTTGATTTACGTTAAGACTACAAGAATTATGGGAATATGCTTTAAATGGTAACCCTTTCAGGTGTCCCAGAAGTTGTAATCGTTGGCCAGAGGAATTATGCGCATAAAATGTGTGAATGATCAAGTTGTATCCTTATGCTTCTATATGCAGCAAAGGGGATTTTGAGTTGATAGTGAAGAAGTTTATTTGCTCCAATACAACTCAGGCTTTGGGTTCCCTTCCTTCATGTCCAAGTTCCTCGTGAAGGTTTCTATCTCTCTCTATGTTGCTATATACAGTTCCCTTATGTCTTGGCTTTTCTTCTTTTGCCATTATAGAAAAACTATTTTGATAGAATTCAATGAAAGAAAAACAATAAAAGTGTGTTAGTCTAACTTTAATTCAATTTTCTTGCTCTTGATGTCTGTTGATGCATATTATTAGTGTCAAGGCTTATTACTTTTTTTTTTAACTATCTATAGGCATGTTGCAAATAGAATATAGATTAGATGATTTGCCAAATGTTAAATGATTTGTCACATTTGCAAACCAAAATTGTTAAACCAATTCTTTTGTGGTTGCAACAAACAAGAACAATGTTGCCTTCTTTTTATTTATTTTTTTTTTGGCAGAGACACATCTACTCCAATATTAAAGTCTTGTCTCATAATATTTCAACAACATATAATTCACGATTTTTTGGCAATTGTGAGCCTTTGAGGCATAATATCCATAAAATAAAGTGTCAATGGATATTGGGATGGATGGATATAACGAAAACTAAGTTGGATTTATATAATGAGCTACTGTCCAGCCATATATAATCTTGTAAATGCATGAGACATGCTACAATCGAGATGGTATTAGTATGTTCAAAAACCAAGAATGTTTCTATCGATATTAATGATATAATTTTGAACGTGAGAGGTTCCAATAAAGACAACATATGTTGTTTTATTCAATTAAACAACTATTGTTTCAAAATATTCTAATCATATAACTTTTGTGTCATCATATTATGATTATGATATAAGGATTATTATTTGTCCAAGTAAAACAAAAATTAAAGCTCAAAATAGTTCACGTGCAATGCCCGTGTACACCAACTAGTTTAATAAAAATTTGAAAACATAGTGTGTGCTTGAGAGAGAAAACAAGGGGAGATAAAAATATAAAAGATTGGACAAAAGACAAAATTTAAAAAAATTGACAAAATGCAAATTTGGGTTGAATAGAATTTTTTATTTAATAAAATAAAAATTTGACAAATAGAGTATGTGTGTAAGAAAAACAGAGAGAGTAGGGAGAGATAACAAAATGTAAAAGATTTGAGAAAAGAAAAAATTTAAAAGATTTGACAAAAAGCAAATTTGAGTTGTATAGAATTTTTCCTTTAATAAAATGAAAAATTGACAAACAGAGTGTGTATGAGGGAGAGAGAAAAAGAGAAACATAATAGGGAGAGATAAAAATATAAAAAATATGAAAAAAGATAAAATTTAAAAGATTTGACAAAAGGTAAATTTGGTTTGCATAGCAGTTTCCATTTAATAAAATTGAAATTTGACAAACAAAGTGTGTGTATATGAGTGCGAGAAAGAGAGAGAGAACCGGGGAAGATAAAAAAATAAAATATTTGACAAAAGACAAATTTAAAAGATTTGACAAAAGGCAAATTTGGGATGCATATCATTTTCCATTTAAATAAAATGAAAATTTGACAAACAGTGTGTGTGTGTGCGTGAGAGAGAGAGAGAGATCAAATAGAGCGCTTATGGGTTGGGTTTGTTAAATCCTCCGCCGAATCTCAAGAAGACTTGCTGCATCTATATCCAAACCAACAATAGGTGCATCAACGAAGCCAAGATCTAGATAGGGATGTCAATGGACCGAAGCGGGGGCGGGGGTATTGTCTTTATCCCCGTACCCGCTTAAAAAATATTCGTCCATCCCCGGTTCACCCCCCGCTAATGGGTATAATTTTCATCCCCATCCCCGTGCGCGAGTAAATTTATAATTCCCGTCCCCATCCCCGCTTCCCCGTACCCGCTCAAGTCCAAGTCCAAGTCCAAGCTCAAGCCCAAGCATAAGCTTAAATCCAAGTTCAAGTCAACATAATCCAAAATTCATGGACCAAAGAATGAGACAAACCTGCATGCACTTATTCTCAACCAAAGTGAACCTCTCGTCCAACCCTCCATGTCATGGACCAAATAAAATGACAAACCTGCACATCAATCCTTCTCAACCAAAGTGCCTTTTACATAGACAAGGTATGGTATTCTTTTCCATGATAGGATGAGAGTCATGAGAGAACATAATGGTTAACTATTAGTTCGCTCTTTACTGAGGAGCCTAAAAGGTAAAAATATACACCCAAAGTGACTGCAGACTGAAAATTCAGTTGCAGAGTCATTAAAATGATGTATTTATTTGTTGAGTTGAGTTGAGTTGATTACTCTGTTGGCAAACTCATGCTAAAAATACAGTCGAATTTCCTCTATTAGAGTCACCCGCAAAAGGAAATTCAATGAAGGGATTGCAGTCTGAAGCACTTCTCTTGTTTCCCTTCTACACTTCATCAAGATATCTTTAAAAGCTTATCTTGTACTGAAAATTGAATTGCAGAGACTTCAAAATTATTATTCATCCTATTGAGCTGAATGGCGTACTCTTTTAAGTATATTTATATAAATATATATATACTTAACGGGACGGGGCGGGGGTAAGGGTAAGTTCATCTCCCCTTCATCCCCGCACAGATTTATACGGGTATCCCCATATACGTCTACCGTCCAATACGTATAGTCCATCCCTGGTCCAAACGGGACAAATTTGGACAAATACATGTTTTTCCCCGGCCCACTGCCATCCCTAGATCTAGGTCTTGGGGGTCAAGTTATTAGTGCGACAAAGGTATAACATGGACTTGATAGGTTCGCATTAGAAGACTAAACAAATTTAGGACGAATGTTGTTACAATTAATGTTAGTAGTATGGTCTAAGACCAATCATATAAATGATGTTTTAGGGTTGTACTAACAACATTCACTACATAATTAAATAAAAAGGCAAGTTTATTTATCATATTTCTATTTTATTTCATTTTAATATACATGATATAGTCCATAGAGTATAAATTAAAAAGATAATTTTTCAAGGTGTTGAGAAGAAGAGACCTATACTTCTTAGTGCTTAACTCTTAAATGTTCCTAGTCATAGGATTATTATTTGGGCACTATGTAATCCAAATAGAGTAGCATACACTATGTTTACTCATATTTGATATGAGGTGACTCGTCCAAGTCACTAGTGTTGGGACACTGAAGCAAGTGTGCAAGTGGTTGTTAGAGAACAAGTACACTAAACGTGACCATTGACAAACGTAGAATTTTTCATATGGAGTTTTACATGTCTATCAATGTTAAATCTTAAAGTTATAGTTATGCAACTGATCCTTAGACTTGAGACACCATGATTATTTTGTGCATGGACTTTTATGCTTTAACTATACAACATATTTATATATTAACCATGTAACTTGGATATGTATTGTTGGACATAGTTAGGCATGCATTAAGAGTTATGAGTGTATAAAATAGAATCTATCATCCTTAGTAATTAAAGGGAGAATGTCCTATGTGATCTTCTAGGATATGACTCAAAAAGTCCTTGGTCAAGGCAGAATGACATTTAGAAAAGAGTTTCTAATTGATCATTAAGAGTTTTAGTCCTAAGATCAAACACATAAGATTGAATTAGGGGTTTGACAGTAATTTCATACCCTACTAATTCAATTAGGGGATTTTGTGATAGAAGGATTGAATTGCATGTCAACTATAGACTGAATGAGTTTTTCACCTACTTCGTACTATCCGAAGGTTAATCATGATATGCTGTTAGGTGTCACTTAAGATTAGTAGAAGCCCGAAGAATGAAATTAATATAAATATATTATTTATTTTTCATAAATGAAGAATTAGAAAGAGTTCTAATTTGAGATGTTACTTGTAGCTAGTATCGAATGCCTACAACCAAGTATGCTTGAACCTATAGTGTCACACACAATAAAATTAATTGACAACTAAAGGATAAAAGAGAGACAACCAATTAAGAGTTAATTGGGGGTGAAAACCTAATTAAGAGTGAATTAGGGATTTTAGTACAATTAATGTTAATAAAGAGGTTATATGTAATTATGAGATAATTTTAATTTGACCCAAATTAGGATTAGGGCCTTTAAAGTTCTATAAATACCTTTTATGTAGGAGGTGGATTAAAATATATATATAGAAATAACAACTCTCTTGCTAGCACAACAAGAACCGCTCCTCATTCTCTCTATGTACTAGTTTTATCAATAGATGAAGTAGATCCTTCAAGTTTGTCAATTTGTGTGGATACCGATAAAAGCAAAACGTTTGCGAGGTTTGGGATAAAGATTAAATTCAAATTTGAAAATTTAAAGTTTTTAAGAATGCTTGAAAATTGTTAAAGGCACGCTTCAAGAAGTAACCCTTAATCTTTTCTATAGATCTAAGGTTTCTCGGTTTGTATTAAACATGAATAGATCTTGATATGAAGAATTAAATTATTATTTTTTTAAATTTCGTTGCATTTATTATATGATTCCTTTCAATTAATACCCACAAGACATCCATATGTACAGGTTACAAAAAGGAACACTTCTTTATAATACACATTACACACAAAAACACACATATAGCATAATATTTAGCAAATCTTCAATCTAAAATCCTCCTGAAGATTACTTGTGCACCATACTGGGGCTGCAAACCCATGGACTGCATTGGAGCATGAACATACGATGGTGATACTTCGAAATAATAACGCTTGATGATTACTGCCAAGACGATTTTCGCCTCCACCATGGCCAAATTTTGACCCACACAGTTTCTGGAGCCTAACCCGAATGGAAAAAACGAGGCCAAATGCTTCCGAGACTCAGCAAATCTTGTGGGATTGAACTCATTTGCATCTTCTCCCCACGCCTTCTTGTCGTGGTGGACAGCGATCATGGCCAGAAATAGTTGCGTGTCGGCCGGAAGGTCGAGGCCGCCGAGCGTCACATTTTTGCAGGCTTGCCACATCGCTATAACGGGTGGAGGGTAGAGTCGAAGTGTTTCATTGACAATCATGTTTAGCTGATAGAACACATGATATTTTGTTTAGCGTCAGCACAAAACATGATACTAAAACTGGAGGAAAAAATTACACTTTCACACCCTAAATTTTATCCCTATCTCACATTATTCTTTCAAATAATATGTTTCTTACATTGCATTTTTAACGATGACGATTGCTCTCGTGATGCCCTTATTATTATCTGTTTCTCATATTTCACTTCTAACTAAAGTAATTGGTTTCACATTATCTCCATTATGGACAACATTGAAAATGTGTATTTTAATACATATTCAGAATTTTTTTTATTTTAGAACAGTGTGAAACCATTTCACAATGTTTACCGAGTAATGTGAGGAATTAAATAGTTGAAGGAGCAAAGTGAGATCGGATCATAATTGAAGGGGTCAAATATAATTTTTTGGGTTAATTGAACTGGAGTCCCCCAAATATAGAGTTTATCTTATTTTAGTCTTCAATATTTCAATTGCATCATTTTTTTTCGTAAAATATTGAATATGTTTTTATGTGGTCCCTCAAGCGAACAACATCAAAATTAGTAGAGGTTTTTTATCATAAATTTTTTACGTGATGCCTAAATATGAATAAAAAATTATTTGGGTAATTCTTAAGCAAAATTTGAATAGATTTTGACTAAAAATGTGTAATATGATTAGCTTTTGACCAAAATTTGGATAATTCATAATCAAAATTGTGTAATTTGGATAATTTTTTGACCAAAATTTAGTTAAAAGTTATCAAAATTATTTTTTTGTCCATATTTTAATATTACATGTCAAGTTTATAATTATAAATCGTTAACAATTTGAACGTTGTCTATTTGAAAAACCACATAAAAATATATTTAATATTTTAGAGATTAAAATGGTGCAATTAAAATATTGGGGACTAAAATACGATAAATTACATACTTTAGGAACCTCCAATACAATTTACTCTAAATTTTTTTTGCTCTTAAAAACGAACAAGACTAAAATGAAAAGTTTAAAATGATGAAACTTTTCATAGTGTTTTTTAATCTAAGAAATCATTTTAGCCGCGCGTTCTATGAAATCATAATTGTCTAAAACGTAAACTTTAAATACAAGTAATCACCCGTTAATCACGCACATTAGCTCTATAGTCACTAAGACTCAAACTCGAGCACGGGCTCGTGTTCAACTGTTGAACCGCCCTTTTGGGTTGAGACTTTCCTTAGTGTAATAAAACTTGGCAAAACAAGTAGAAAATAAACTTACAATCTTGAAGTCAGCCAAATTGTGAGCAGTGGGAAGTTCTTTGTCTTTGCAGATTCGAACCACTTCTTCCCTTGCTTTGGTCTGCCATTCTTGATGCAATGCCAGAAGCAGAAAAGCCCAAGTCAAAAGAACACCAGTTGTTTCCTTTCCTGCAAAGTAGAATGTCTTGCATTCGTCTATGATTTCATCCACACTCAGTCTTTCTTCTTCCCCATCCTGATGATTCTTATGGGCAGACATTAACAACGTAATAAGTCTCTTTGAATTTTCTTCTGAATTGCTTCCTGTTTTGCTGCTACTCTCAATTAGCATCCGAATTGAATCTCGAGTTTCTCTCTCGATTCTCCACCTCATTCTATTCTTCTTAGTAGGCAAAAACCTGTACATAATTTCGTTTTCAAAACTAGAAAAAAAATAGAGTTCTAGCAAAATCGAAGAAACATGATGCCATGTTATTCGAATTGATCAGGAATATGCAATTAAGGAAACAAAGATTTCTCAATTGAATTTGAGGATGAATGAAAAGTGGGACTAGACAAATTAAAAAAGATTACAGAAAATAGAATTGATATCATTGAAAAGGGAAGAAAAAAAAGAAAGATAGTCACCATTTGGACAAATTGCTTCTTAGTTGTTTCTATGTACAAGTGGTTGGTTGTTAGGACAGATTTTAATTGTTTGGACAAACCGTATCCAAATCTATGGTGTGGGTTCGAATCTTCACTGAAGCACAAGTCCTGATTTAATTGGTGTATGAGTTAAGAGATCGGTTTATGAATCCGAGATTTATCCTCAATTCTATTCAAACTTATGAGTCTGAGAGACATAAACGTGTTTCTACTCGTCGGGAACAGACCAAAAATTTCTCCGGTTACCAAAAAAACCATTTACCCTACTCAATACCTCTTGGCTTAAGGTTATAATGTGTTCAAATTCATTAATACCACTAAAAATTTGAGATTAATCCTCTATACTGACCCAATTCAATTAGGGGTTGAATAAAGGACAATCTTTCAAAAAAACTCCCCTTAAAACAAATGACAATCCCCCAATATACTTCCATCATTCCATGTGTCTGGCTTGCAAGAATGGTTAGGAGGAGTTTGAGAGGATAGGAGGTCCGAAGAAATGTCGTAAAGGATGAAAGATGGTGAATCAGATAAACGAAGGTTAAGAGGACTTTACAACTATAGAACTAAATTGTTCGAATTTCTTATGGCGTGCAAATAAAACCAGTTTTTGCTAGCAAGAAAGTTCATCATGTTTCTAAACAATGTAATGGATACCTGAATCCAGGAATGTAGACAGTTCGTAGGGCGTCCATGACCAGGCTGGCTTGTTGTTCTTGCAATTTAAAAATGCGTTTTCCCTCCTCAAAACTGCTCCCAAAAGCAGTCCGAGATATCATGTCCGCCGAGAGGTTGTGAAGTTCTTTGTGGACGTCCACCTCCCATTCCTCTCTTCCTCCTCTTTCTTCCTCCCATTTCTCTAACATTTTCATGGTGCTAGTCACCATTTCTGGCACCCAACCCTGGTAAAATATTCCCGTTATCATCGACACATAATATCGTTAACAAATCATGAAATAACATGTAATAATAGGTGAACTTAGTAGATCTTACTATTTCAATAACTTCTAATTATGGGTGCCAAAATATGACACGAAATAAAATTAAAGGGTTTGGGTATTCTTTAAACCACCTGTTCGTAAACGGGTGGAATTGATACGACACGATTAATAAGCGAAGTCAATCAATATGAAAAAGACACGACTCGTTTATATATCAATTATACACAATTCATAAACAATAAAAATCCGATACGATACGACTCGTTCGACACAAATTAATAAATAAATCGGGTATGAGTAGAGTACTTTTTTGACTCGAACCCGTTAAGACCCGACAAGAATCAATATCAAAATATGGAATATAAGATTTTTTTATTTACTTTTTAGTTCAATAGTTAAGGGTTTTCAGACCAGTTTACGTGCACCTGGACTAATCTCCTATTCTATCCGATCAAAAGCAGGTCATCCACATCAGAACTAAGATATTCATCATGGCCAGATCAAGAGATTGTAAAAATTTAAATTCAAAATATCTGAATTTACAGTTCGTCTTTGTTATCAATTTGGCTATCCCTTAACTTAAACAGTTAAATTGAGTACGGTACTAAAATATGTATAAGACCGAAGTATAGGTTGTTTTTTTTTTTTCGGTCTGAACAGTGATATGGAGTATAGGAACAAAGTTGCAACCCTCCCCCCACCCCGAAACCCACCACCATCATATGCATTTGGGTTTTGGCATCGGTCAACCCATGGGCCAAATTTTCTGGACCATGCCTATCTATTGGCCCACTTTTATTTTCCATAATTATAATATTTTTATGTTTTGACATTTAAAAATTTAATAAATAAAAAATACAATATTATTTATATTAAAATGTGCATGCGCTGGTCCGAGGTATCTATAAACTATACAGTAAAGGTGGCCATACCATAATTTTTTGATTGGACCATGCATCTACCACCATCATCATACAAACTCTGATGTCGTAATTTTTAAAAAATAACATTATTAAGACTTAATGATGTGATTAATTATAAATGATGTGTTTTAACAATATTTATTGTAATTATAGCTGTTAGATTTTTTAGTTGTGATAGCTCGGTAATCTCATTTAAAAAAATTTCACAATTATAATTACAATAATATTATTAAATTATTTCTAGTTCCCTCCACCAATTTTTTTTTTATTTTTTTTCGGTTCCTCCGAATTCAATAAAAAAAATTGATATATCGTTTAATAGTTTAGGTTTCGGTTTAATTTTAATGAATTCGAGCTACAACAGTATAATTCTATTTAATTCATTAAATATATAAATCAAGATAAATTCAATTACACAAAATACAATCCTGCTAAAAACGGTTTATGTAGGCTACCCCACTTAAACACTATTAATTATATGAACTCAATTATATATATTAATAAATAGATTAGGTATTGACTAAATAATTTTAACCATGCACCACTTAAACACAATACGATCAATCAAGAATCCTAGTTTTCACTATAATAAGATTGTGCATATCTTAGTTTGTGTGATACAGACGCCCTTGTCCCTTCGATAATGAGAAATGTTATTTGAACTTAAAATGTAAATTTGATGAATCACAATTATTAAATAGGCAATAAATTTTAATAAATATTAAGACCACAATAAAATTCATGGACTGATTCCCTATAATATTTGTGTGTGTGTGTGTGTGAGAGAGAGAGAGAGAGAGAGAGTCATGGATCACCTTAACCCTCTCCATGTTAAAGGCCTGGCTAGTGATCCTTCTGTGAACAGCCCACTTCTCACCGTTCAGCCAAAGAAGTCCCTCTCCAAACAAAAGCTTAGTCAGAGGGCTAAACTCAACCTTAGCAAACGAACCACTGGTATTCAGCAAAACCTCTCTGATCATGTCCGGTTCGGCTACAGCCAGCCTTGGCTTGGACCCGAACCAATACAGGAACGTCTTGCCATAGGACGTTGACCAGTTGTAGTAGTGTGGAATGACCCTGTGAACTATGTCATGGTTAATAGAGGTTGGTTTTGACTCAGCTATGGAGGTCATGTGCCGCCTCATTTCGGCTGTGTTACCGAGGATGGGATAGTAGCTAGGGCCTCTGATTCCTTGTTTCCTGAAGTGATTTTGTATCCTAAGTGGGACCCAGATGATTTTGTGTATGAATGTTAGGAGTGAGATGAGAATTAGTAGCGACACCATATAAACTAGTACAAGAGACATGGTGAAAGCTTCAAGCCTTCAACTCTGTGTGTGTGTGTGTGTGAGAGAGAGAGAGAGAGAGGAGATGATCTTGGAGGGGAAAGAGGAGGTGGGTGGGTTTCATTTGGAAGTGGACATTCATATATAGGCAGATTTTTAACGTACGGAATATGTTTCATTCTCATTGTTTATGGAAAGGGAAGAAGATCTGTGAGACGACCTCATCAGATCATAAAAATTAGTAATAAACACGTATCTATATACATTGTACTATATGAAGTTAAAAAACTCCCACAGTCCCAATTGCATAATACACAAAGCTGTCGTGGAGTTTGTGGGATATCTGGCTTTTTTCCTTTTTTTTTAATTTAGTAAATTAAAGTGTTAAAATTTATTTTATTTATTTATTATTGTATATAGTTGGCTTGTTATATTGTTTGCAGAAGAAAAAGATTACAATAAGGATTCAATATTTTTTTGTAGGGGCATTCTCTTTTATTTATACCCTGATAAATTTTTTGTTCTTACCCCAGATGACATAGTTCCCCCAATCTCTTAGACTTATTTCAAGAATATTTAACCGTTAAAAATAATCATATTCACTGGACACATGTTTTTTTAGAAGTGATTTGGTGACATTCTTGAGGGGTAACTTATTGTCCAAGATAACATGAAAACTTTGATCTTTTCCTTTCTTATGGTTATGGATTCTACGTTAACTTCAACAGACCGACCTAAGTTAGGGTTAGGTCAACTTTGCATAATTCGGTCTAATTTACAGTATCATCAAAACTCATGAATGTTGATCGTGCATAAGTTTCACACCCTAAAGAAAATGTATAAATGTGATTGAAATTATAATCTTTATAAATAATAAGACTTCATTGTTATTGAAATTGATTCCCCCCCCCCCCCCCACAAAAAAAAAAAAAAAA